TTTGTTTTTATTTATTTGTTTTTATTTATTTATTTATTGTCTTGTTTCACGTTTTAAAACTACAAGGTGTTGTGATTAACGATCAGTCACAGCGTTCCCAGTGAACATCGACTGTGCCAAGCTTCTACAGAAACTAGTTTTCTGCGGACACAGCTGTCAAAGGTGAACCAACTTTCTCAATTTTAATCACAACTGTTACAGATTAAAATACACGTACTTCAGAGACTGACTCTAGTCAGTGTAATGTCTCTTGAAGTACCCACTCATTCACAATTATCACACATTTATTTCAACACAACAATACACATTTAAATATGGATCCGTGTACTTTCTTTTCAGGCTAAAAGTATAAACCTTTGTGTGTGCTTCTTTTCTCTTATGTAAGGAACGTGCTTTTGAACTCACAGGACTTTTTATTCTGCTGGTCTTGTCGTTCAGGGCATGAACGACTCACAGTTATTTTGTTACTCTATTGTGTTTTCTCTTCTGTCTAAGTTTTGGCCGACTGAGAGCTATGGCACGCTGTGTCCCTGGTACTCAGTCCAAGCAATTCAAGCCGTAAACTTGAATCTTGACACCAAAACTTTATAAATCAGTAATTTGGATTTCCTGTCCACTTACTTCAACAACTGTCTACGCGAGACCGTTGTGTTTCAGTTTTCAGTAGTCCAAAATTCACACGCTGTGTTTTGCCTGGTCTTGTTCTATTCTTTTCTCTTGTAGAATTCGGGGGTCCTCAAATCTCCGGGCCTCAAACCCAGCTGTAACCGCCTCTCGTCAGAGTACGGTGGGGGTTGCCACACCCAAAGACATCTAACCCTGTTAGACTTCTGTTCCTTTTTCTCTTTTTACTCTTATTTCACTTCTTTATTTCTCTGTACCTTTACTTCTTCACACACATATTTCCCAGTATTCTTTTAAATTAATTTACGGACAAGGTGTTACTAGGACTCAGGACACAACTAAAATTTAGCTATTTCCAATGCAGAAGAAAAGCTCTGCTTACCTTATTTTGGGCCCGTGTCCTTTGTCTGTTCACACCAGGTCCTTGTGTCCAATGGTTCTATTGATCAACTCTCTGTTTTTTCTTGGAATCCCGGACGAGCCCCCAAAGTTGTTGTGGTAAGGTTTTACCACCCCGGATTCGTTGATCAAGAACTTTCACAAAGTATAAAGAAAAGACAAAAGTCGTTGCTCGAGTTCGCCTGTGCACAGGGAGGGTCCAGCGGAGAGTCGGGGGGGTGACTGCTGAATCCTGCTCTCTCCACCAACTCAGGCTTGTTTTATTGACACACACATCCAGGTGGTACATCTCAAGCGATACAGACTTCATTTGTTCTACACACAGACATACATTCTTTTTGGCAACTGCATCTACACCGTTAGTTTCTCATCCTGTTCTTATCGTGCCCAGGTGCTGTTGTTGGGACCTTGTGTTCTAACTATGAATCCAGCCATTGTCAAATTGTATTCTAAAAGTTTCTGTTTCCCATCACACCAAGTACTCCTCTTTTCACAACAAACCTTGGTTTTATCTCAACCTCGCAGCTCCTTCTCTACATCTGCATGTTTTCAGTTCTAGCTTTAAGCAGCATTTTATGTTCAAGCTGGTTATATGTTTTAGCACATCTCTTATGATCTTTTTAAAACATGATTATGTATGTTGCATACTTCTATAAAATACGAACACATGAATACATTTCATCCACAAGTGCTATACAATATGTCTGCTGTAATTGATGACTTGTGTACCACCACTCGTTTGTTTGCTTTTCTTACCCGCACTATTAATCTACAAGCGGCAAGAGCGCCTGGATTTACCACCGATCCTGACAGACTCGGTGGCCGAAAAATGAATCTGTGGTGCATGGACAGTGTCAAAGAAAGAAGAGTAGATATATGATATGATAAATTAAGATTGACTGGTCAAATATATCATTAATTGCAAAATAGTTTGTACAGCATTACCTTTCAGAGTCATATTTGCTATCATGTGAAGTAAGACTTTTGTGAAAAATGAACATCTTGCAAAAAACCCAGATATTCTCATCTTTGTCTTTCTTTCTTTCTTGCCAGCATTATCACGCTGTAGTCCACCAATAGGACACAGACAGGTGCACCAAATGCTGTATTTAGTAAAAAAATAACCGAGCCAAAATTTCATTAAACACCTCCCAGCTTCATCATTATTCAATCTACATTGACAAAAAACGCTCATTGACAATAAAATGGAATTCTTCCAACTTACCTGACACCTTGCTTGTCCCTTTTCTCCAACAGAAATGAAAAGGGTTATAATAATGTTTTTATAGCTGGGGTCAACATGGATTCACGCGTCTGCGGTTCCTTCTCTTGTCAAGCGGCAGTGAAATGTTGAATTACGAACAAAACAAAACTCGGTGGAATGTCTTGTTCCTTCGGCTTCTATCGGTTCCCAGTTTGGATGAAGCGCATACAGGGCGCAGAAGAGTCGGAGTAACGGAGCAGTTGGAGCGGTGGTGGAGCCTTTCCTCAGCTCCGTGCTCCTGAAGTAGTGATGTGTCGTTCGCGAGTGATTCGTTCAAAATGAACGAATCTTTCATATGAGTCGTGACTCCCGAGTCATATGAAAGATTCGTGACTCGTGACTACCAAGTCATATAAAATATTTATTCATATTGAACTCACGAATCACTCACAAATCACTCACTGCGAACTAATCACACTCTGCGAACTAATCACTCACTGCGAACAAATCACTCTCTGCAAACTAATCTTTCACTGTGAACTAATCTTTCACTACGATCCAATTACTCTGCAAACTAATCTTTCACTACGATCTAATTACTCTGCAAACTAATCTTTCACTGTGAACTAATCTTTCACTACGATCCAATTACTCTGCAAACTAATCTTTCACT